CCACATAAGCAAAAAGAAAAAAAGCCGGAAGTGGCACTGTGGCTCAAGTGGTAGAGCGCTAGCCTTGAGCTGAAGAGCTGAGGGACAGCGCCCAGGCCGAGTTCAGGCCCCATGACCGGACCCAAAAAAAAAAAATTATATTAAGTGAAGTAAGCCAGGCCCAAAGAAATATAGATCCCAAGGTTTCCCTTATTTGCAATAACTAGTACATGTGTAGGACAAGCAGAAAAGGCCAAACGCCATGTACATATGACCATATAAGATGATGTTAAGTGAAATAAACCTCAAGATAGGGACACAAGTATCTTTTTCTTTCTTGCTATCATTTCTAACGTATTTATAATGTACCATATGATTATTTTGTTGCTTTGTATGTTCCTCCCCCACAGTATAACCCCTATTTTCACTGTAATTGATGTTGGTGCCCAGCAACTTGTATATACACTTCTCTAATTCAGGGAGGGGAAGGGAAAAAACAATCCTTAAATAAGGATACAGGTTGACCCATTGTAACAATGAGATGTGCAAAACACTATGTTGAAAACAAAGGAGGAAGCAACAATGTTCAATAGGAAATGTACTCATTACCTTGCTCATGTAACTGTAACCTCTCTGTACAGTATTTTTCACTGTTGTTTAGTTTTTATTCATAATCATAAACTTAACTCTGCAATCCAGCTAGAAAAACATGAAACCCAAAGAACTGCAGTGAGGGCACAAAGATGACAGGATATCGCAAGCAGATGGGGTGGAAGGGTGCGCTCCTGAGCTGCAGAAGGAATGGTCTGGTGGTTATGGTAAACCAAATGAAATGTATTAGAGTTGTCCGCAGTCGGTAATGGTGACCTTCTTGCTGGTCTTGCCATTCCCAGACCAAAGCCCTGCATGGCTTCCACAACTTCCATGCCCTCTTTCACCTTTCCAAAGACCACATGCTTGCCATCCAACCAATCAGCCTTGACAGTGCAGATGAAAAACTGGGAACCATGTGTGTTTGGTCCAGCATTTGCCATGGACAAGATGCCACCAGGACCTATGTGCATTCAGGATGAAGTTCTCATCCTCCAATTTCTCTCCATAGATGGCCTTGCCACCAGTGCCATTATGGCATGTGAAGTTACCACCCTGGCACATGAATCCTGGGATAATCCTGTGAAAGCAAGAATCCTTATAACCAAATCCTTTCTCTCCAGTGCTCAGAGCATGAAAGTTTTCTGTCGTCCTTGGAACTTTGTCTGCAAACAGCTCAAAGCAGACACGGCCCAAGGCCTTGCCGTCGGTGGCAAAGTCAAAGAACACGGTGGGGTTGACTGGGGCTGCCAGCTGGTAACCACAAGCGACAGCGGCGTCTGCAAAGCCCTGTATAGCATTATTTTTAATGTACAAAAAAAAAAAAAAGATTTGTCTTTACTACATATGCATCCTCCATCTTCTCACTGAGAGGACAGGAATCTTGGATGAGACCACTTCCTTTGTGTGTTCACACAAACTGCCACAATTCATTGAGGATGACTATGAAATATTAATAAAGCACAAAGCCTCTTACTTCATCAAGGTATTTTCCATACTTTCTGTTCCATGCCAAGAAAAACATATGGAAACGTATGCAGTTAGGAAACATAAGTAAGACCTAAAATCGTTAGAACAGCTAGAAGAAAACCTTTTGTTCTAAAACTGAGCCTTGGCAAAATCCTAGAGTACAAAGTAGAAAGATGTTAGGACCAGTCACCACTGACCATTTTGTTTTAGTTATTTATTATAATTATCTTTTTATTCTGTGAATGTGTGCCTGCCCTAAGGCTTGACTTTAGGGCCTGGGTGCTGTCCCTAAGCTTTTTAGTGCTGAACGCTCTGCCACTTGAGCCACGGAACCACTTTCCACTTTTTGCTGGTTAATTGGAGATACGAGTCTTTTGGATTTTTTTTTCTGCCCAGGCTGGCTTCAAACCAGGATCCTCTGATCTTATCTTCCCAAGTAGCTAGAATTACAGAACCATTGGCACATGTCTCCATGCTTTTTTTTTTAATGAGTAATTATCACAATCTATTTTTGGGGAGGAAGGGTAATTAACAACCTGATATCAGTGCTAAATAAAACTTTCTCTTTCCTCATGCCTCTTCTTTTACTTTATCAAAGTACTGGGATTGAACTTACAACCTTGAGAATTCTAGCCAAACATTCTACATTCCAGTCTTTATGCTATTCCTTTCTAACTGAGGCAACCAGAGCCCAATTACAACATGTAGAGGAGTAAAGTAGAAGTGTGTGACTAATATCTTGCATCTGAAACATGAAATTACATCACACAGGAAGTTTTCATCATAATGATTTATCATTCCATTTTCACATGAGGTCACCCACAAGAAACAAAGTTAAAGTCTCTTCCTTATACATCAGCTGCAATTAGTCTTGTTATATCTTCCCTCTGTTTGATTTGTTCAACCACTAAAGAAGAAATAAAGTGCTTTGCCCAATAGGAGCCTCAAGCAACAGTCATGACAATTCTACAGATTATGTCTCAAATGTCAAGGTGTTAGTTTGCAAATGTGGCTTAGGAAAGTGTTGAATGCTCTGGGAAATTCACTTCTTACTAACTATTCCTACTAAATTGTCCCATCGTTTACAGTCTTGAGACATTCTTATCAGTGTTTGGGAGAGTCAAAATTTAAACAAGAAAGGTAAGAGTTCAGGGTGAATTGTGGCCCTCCATTTCTCTTTCCAGTAGAACTTGTAGAGAAATGATTGGGAAACAGCAACTGGAAAAACCAGGTAGAGATTAAATGAAATGCAAAGTTAGCCTGCACCCGTGGCTCACACCTGTAATCCTAGCTATTCCAGAGGCTGAGATCTGAGGATCAGGATATGAAGCCAGGCTGGGAGGAAAAAAAATCTTCATGAGACTATCTCCAATTAACCATCAAAAAGCAAAAAGCTGAGAATGGAGCTTTTGCTTAAGTAGTAAGTAGAATGGCAACTTTGAGCAAAAAAAAAAAAAAATGCCAAATGAGAGCTTGAGACACTTGAGTCCAAGCCCCAGTATGGGAATAAATAATAATAATAACAGCAATAATGATAATAATAAATGCAAACATAACCATTTTGTAAAATTCTTCTCAAAATACCTACAATGTCCTTTATTCTGTAGGTAAGGAACTCAAGAAATAAGAGAAAAACTAAGTCTTACCCAAAAATTCTGAGGTGATTTGCCTATTTCCAGCTACAATGTACAGTTTTATGAGGATTTTCTAAAAGCATTATAATTGTACTGTACTGGCTTAGTGGATCATCACTATTAATACGCCCATTATCATCTTTAAAATACAGACGAATTTAAGAAAAGCATATCATATTTCTTGGGATAAAACCAAAATCCAATTTCATTCAAATAAAAGGCAGGGATGGGACAAGCATTTGATCGCCAAATTCTGATTATTCAGGAGAAAACCTCAGATGGGTGATTCATATGATAGGTCACCTTAAAATCACTCTCAAAACCTAAACCTTTGTAACCCAGACCAAGCAAGAGAAGATGTTGGGAGAAGTGTAAGTGCAGAATATTTTTAAAGAAGCACATCTGAAGAGTTCAGATGCATTTTAATAGCTGTTTTAAAACCACAAAAAACACATAATATTATGCATATCACAAATACCAGCAGTTTCTTTTTCTTTCTTTTTTTTTTTTACATATCCAAGGGTTTACTTCAATGAAAGAATCAATTTGTTTGCCTCCAGCATTATTTGAAAATTCACTTAAGATTATATTATCCTCTCAATCTCATTACTTAACCACTTTTTATTTCTAGTCCTAGGGCTCGACTCTGGGCCTGTGCGCTGTCCCTGGGCTCCTTTTCCTCAAGGTTGGTGCTCAAGGCTAGCACTCTACGACTTAAGCCACAGCACCACTTAAGGCTTTTTCTGCTTATGTGGTGCTAAGGAATTGAACCTTGGTCCTCATGCATGCGAGGCAAGCACTCTACCACTGAGCCACCTTCTCAGCCCCTTCTTCCAACCTCTTAATTCTATATATATTTTTAAAAATGTCGTTTGTGTGTGGCAAGCTTCTTTCTCTCAAGGCTGGTGCTCTACCACTTGAGCCAAAGCACCACTTCTGTCTTTTTGCTGGTTAACTGGAGGTAAAAATCTCACAGACTTTTCTGCATGGGCTGGCTGGAAACTGCCATTCTTAGATCTCAGCCTCCTGAGTAGTTAACATTGCAGGCATGAGCCACTGACACCCAGCTGTGATTTTCTTTATTACTATTTTAACCTACTTGTTCATTGCCCCCACCACCACCACCAAATAACTTACGTCAAAGGGTTAGAAGAAAGTTCTAGCAATCAAAATACACTGAGAATCCTCTTATGTATAGTAAGGAACTCAAGTGTTTATAGTGTTATACCAAAGTCTCTCCAGCAGCAATCATGTGCACCCATCATCTAAATGACTGAAGAACTTGTAGACTGAGTAAAGTAGAATGAAGATGATGCACCGGTGGCTCACACCCCGCTCACACCCCTCATCGGAGCTGCTCAGAAGGCTGAGATCTGACGATCTTAGTTCAGAGCCAGCCTGGGTAGAAAAGGCTGTGAGACTTATCTCCAATTAACCAGCAAAAAGCCAAAATGGAGCTGTAGTTGAAAGTTCTAAGTGCTAGCCTTGAGCAAAAAAGCTCAGAGATAGTGCCTAGGCCCTGAGTTTAAGCCCCAAGCCTAGCAGTAAAATAAATAAACAAACAAACAAATGTAGGTAGAATGATGTCCACCGCCCTCAATGATAAAGAGCTCGCTGGAAATGGTTCCCAAATCAGCTGCACAGTCAGATCTGAAACATGCTGTGAAAACCAAGGTTCGCTTAGCTGTGTCTGCCTGATGGTGAGAAATACAGAGCACATAGCCAGATTCCTTTTCACAAATGCCCACCAAATATCTTCGGGTTCTGAAAAAGCAATTCACAGCTCACTGACTAATGAATTCTCTGGCAGATTACACTCAGCACACCCAGCCTAACACACACACACACACACACACACACACACAC